GTATACTGTTCCCTTCAAGATCTCCAGAAAGTCTACCCACCTACGGTTTTATAGGTCCTGACATTTCCACAAAGAGACTGTACTCCAGACTAACAGATTGGGCAGTGGGTTAGTTTCAATTGCCTGGATTTTTTATATTTATACTAAATTTTAATTTTTAAATTTAATTTCTTCACCCCTACTTACAATACTTTTTGAACTTCTTAAACACGTTCGCAGGCCCCAAAGCAAACAATTAGCATTGCTTCTTTCTTTTTTTCCTCTGTAACTCTGGCTTTTATTAGATTTGTTTTCTCAGTCTATTGACCAGCTGGTTTAGATTTCAGAGAGGATTTCTATCAGCATCACAACCTACTCGTGCAGAGAAACTTTCCAAGATTATACCCCTTACAGTCCAAATCATAAAAACAATGTATGACATTACTCCTAGCAAAGCTCCATCCATTTCTAAGGGCGAAAAAAAAATGTTACTTCTGTACGTCCTCTACGTTTCCTGTATGTTCAGTAAAAAAATAAATTCATTCCAGTTCTCTGGACTTTAGTAAAGGCCACATTTTTAACATCTTCATAAAATCTCGACATTTCTATACTCCTGTCTCTCTGAGCCCTTGTAACTCCCTCCAAAAACTATAAGAGCAAATGACAGCAACTCTCCCCACCAGCTTCTCTTGGCTATAACAAATCAGGAGCTTATTACCTGCTTATCACCCAGCACCTCTGTCAAGAGCTCAAGACCCAATTCATTCCTATTTATCCACAGAGAGGCCCTTTAGTTGCTTTGTGGAAGGATCTTTGCCTGCCAAATATTTGCTTTTGTAACAAAGTAATAGACCCGCATTTTGCTCCCTGTGCACAACGTTCATTGTCGGTGCTGTCCTACAGGAGGATGCAGAGACGTTGGCATTTTGGGGATGCTGTTTTAACATAAGCCAAACATGCAGGGGAGCGACTCAGTATGTTCTCGGAGCCTGAAAACCCAGCGTTAGCGCTTGACAAAACAAACGCAGGCCTCCGATTCAGAAAAAATAAATACAAATGTCTTCCCACCCTGATGTCACTGTTTGGATTATTGCCTAGATAATTCAGTTGAAAACCAAATCCAGCCTAGCAACTGTCTTGAAAATTGAGTAACCTCAGGTTCAACTGTATTAAAAAACTTCAGCTTCAGGCAAAACTGATGGAACAGCTCATTCGCAGTACTTTCACCAAGCCCTAGCCCTCATTTTATGTTTTTCTGATTACACTTACATTGTGTTACAATTTACCGGCAGCACTATTGTATTATAATATATATTACCACTAGCCGACTCTGACCGTACGCATTCAGCTTCATCAACAGCTAAAGATGCATGGCTCAATGCATATTCATTGCTGTATTGCCATTTCTCAGCTGTTAAAACAGCTGCATGAATCAGCAACAAGTTTCACAACTTAAAATAGATGTAACCCTGCAGGATACTCGGGCTCAATGCGCATTATGATTCTCACTCGTAGGCTGGCAGGAGTTAGGGAGGTGGTGCACTTAACTACAGTATTCCTCCACTCAAGCATAGCACTACCCTAAAGGTGTAAGCTACGTTAGCGTTTCAGTTTGGAGCAGAAGTGTGCTTTTGTAATAAATCTCCCGATCATTGTCACTTATCATGCTTTGGTTCACTTCACAGAGCGGTCTTGGGATAAATGAACCCAATTCCTTTTGACGGAGCTAAACCAGAAATGCACCACTGACTTCCATCTGCTAGTGGCACGTGGTTCAGAGGACCAAACTACAGCTACTGAAAAGGAAACCCTCTTGAAACGCATATAGTGTGCTCCGGGTCCTCAATACGGACTGTTTTGCTCTGCAGATCTGCTCCTCTCAGCCCATACTGCTTGCTAAACGTAGACAGAGCTGAACACAGCTATCTGGCTTCTAGAGAGGAGCTAGCGCTTCAGGTTAGCCTGTCATGGAGGCAGGAACTCATGATATAAATATTTATATCATATTAATGATATAATTAATGATATTAATGATATTAACGATATAATTAATGATATTAATGATATAAACCTTGGGGTTGTATGGTTTCTATCCTCGGCAAACAAAAATGTTTCCTTTAAGTTAACAATCATATCTGATTGTCAATCATATCCAGGGTTGTTCAGCCTGGAGAAAAGGAGGCTGAGGGGAGACCTCATCGCTCTCTACAACCCCCTGAAAGGAGGTTGTAGCGAGGTGGGGGTCGGTCTCTTCTCCCAAGGAACAAGCGATAGGACGAGAGGAAACAGCCTCAAGTTGTGCCAGGGGAGGTTTAGATTGGACGTGAGGAAAAATGTCTTTACTGAAAGAGTGGTTAAAGATTGGACCAGGCTGCCCAGGGAAGTGGTTGAGTCACCATCCCTGGAAGTATTTAAAAGACGGGTAGATGAGGCGCTTAGGGACATGGTTTAGTGGGCATGGGGGTGTTGGGTTGACGGTTGGACTCGATGATCTTAGAGGTCTCTTCCAACCTTAATGATTCTAGATTCTATGATTCTATATCTGGCTTTATGAAAAACAAAACAAAACAAAACAAAACAATTTTCTGTTTGAAGGACATTCTTAACTCTCTTCCAGGTCCTCAGCTCGAAAAGACATCTAAGAGCACATGCTCAATTATTCAGTCAACAAGCAAATAAACTACCTTTCCTTTTATTCATTTGCTGTGCCAAAAACCTGTAGAGTCATACATGTCACAGTGATTGTACTTTTAATACTTGTTAGTCCTTCCCCCGTTTGGGGTATGCACTGCTGCTTATGATGGAAAAATCAAGGGTTACGCCATCCCCACATGTTTTATCTGTCATTATCAGGTGCATAGATATGCACGTGTCACCGCCGGAAGAGCTTGGTATTTATTTTAAATTACTGCAATAATAAGGAAAGTGGTTGTATCACATTTACATTAAAATAATGTACTGCAAAACATTTAATATGAAAAGGGATTCCTCAACATATTCTTTGCTCAGTATGTTTCCAATACAACCATTCTACTGCTACTGCAATGCCACAGTAGATAATATTGTAGATATTGTTGTTGATAATACGTAGAAACCGCATATCCTCTAGGAATTTCAGTACATACTTGCTGTGTTTCCTTAGTTGGCAACACAGTCCCTTCCTTCCCCTTACTTCAGTGCAAAAACAAACCCTACATGTGATCACTTACAGAGTTCTGTCTAATTATATAAATGTACTAATTATACACACTTTTCAAATGGTGATAGACTTCAAAGTAGGTAAATTTTAAATTGTGCCATTAAGAAAATCTAGTTGATGATGGAAATTTCTGTAATATCATATTGCAATCTTCTACATCGTAATTTTGCTTTCAAGCCAGTATTAATTTAATGACAAGTAACAGCAGAGAATAATAGAGTTGGGGAAGCAAACAAGGCTGTAAGATTTACAGTGTGATATTGGTCAGCAGATGTTAACAAAAAGGATCAAAAACAATTTGGAAAAGCAATGGATCTAAGGTAAACAATGAGTAGAAAGAAGTTCTGCATGATAAATATGAATACCGAACCTTCCGAAACCACTCTGTTAACAAAGATAAACACCTGCAAGACTGACTTATCCCCATGTGTTCAGCTACTCCTGAGAAAATAGATATGTCATTGAACACTTAATTTACATGCACAGTTATCACACTGCTAAGAACGACTTGCAAATTAGTTACTTGCAGTTCAGAGCATCCCTTTGCATGCAAAATAACGCCAACTGCATGAACGAACCAGCCCTACAAGTGCACACATAGCTCAGCCCACCAATGTCATACACACGTTTAGGAAAACCAAACCGCCGCCGCACAAGACTTCAGCACGTGCACCTCCTCTTCGTACCTTGGTACAGGCTTCTGACTGCTATACCCTCACTCCTCAAAACACAGCTCTTTACCTTTAATGTTAGGTATTCACCACAAACCCTGGTTCTTCAGCATAACTCTTCAGTGAAGTTATAGTACAAGTGAATGCATGAAAGCTGATACTCTTTTAGCGCTACTTAATAGTTACTCTGTCTATTGCCCTGATGTCCTAGGTGAGTAGTTATAAGTAAGTTATGTAAGTTATAAGATGTATAACATGTAAGTTATAAGAATGTATATATCTTTGCTGTAGAGTCTGCATCTTGCATTGTCAAGGCCACTAGGCAGATCAGACAGCAATTACAAGGCAGCAACACCATAGAATCATAGAATCATGGAATCATTAAGGTTGGAAGAGACCTCCAAGATCATCAAGTCCAACCGTCAACCCAACACCACCATGCCCACTAAACCATGTCCCTAAGGGCCTCATCTACCCAAGCGCCATCTACCATAGGACACTAATCCCTCTGCCTTTAGTTAAGTAATAGCTTACGTGGCAGGGAAGAGACAGAATACATCTTCACTGAAAAACAGGACTGTGTATAGAAAGGGAAACGGTTGATCTTCTCTCACACAAATCCTAGTGTCAAAACAAATAGTCTTACTAAGTCACGGGCTGTCACATTTAACCAAAGACGTTTATGGAATGGCTTGATAGAAGCATCTTATATGCAGCAGGTGGGTGATCCTGAGTTACCAAGCAGAAACCAGGACATCAGGACTTTCCCCCAGTGTTCAAGAACTCCTAGGTCTGAGATTTAGGCTACACCCTTCAGAGTACAGAGTCCAGATATGCTTGAATAGCTTTAAGATCAGAGACTTCTGCTCTGGTGCACCCACATAAAAAAATCTCCAGAAGACATTAAAACTACCTCCGCACAAGTAACTATTTTTCTTTCTGCATAGTTACACAATGACTCACATACAAAAAAAAACATTTCACAAAAGTTGGAATTTAAAGCAAATATGATGCAAGTTCGGTATTGGAATGAGGAGCTCCAGTAGCAACACAGAGACAGTGCACAGCACAAGAAGTGATTTTGTGCTAATTGGTGACATCTTTGACCTCCGCTCATATGTCAAGCAGTTCCGCGCCCTGCCCAATGTTACCTTTTGATATTCTTCCTTAGATCTCAAGGCAGCTTCCATCTGTTCCTGAGAAAACGTGTAGATGGCCGAGCGGTACTGTGTGCCAAAGTCATTACCTTGTCGCATTCCTGGGGAGAGAGAAAACACAGAACACCATGAGGATCATCCTCCCTACCTGACTGGGGTGCAGGCATAAATTCAACAGACCTAAATTTAGGATGTCCCATACATCCGGATTAGCACGGTCTCTTACGTGCATACGCAGTAGGTATTTTTAGGAAGTCCAAGTCTTTCCTTGGTTAAATAGTCCTGAAGAGATTCAACTCTCCTTTTAAATGACATGCAAATGAAATGTGAGCATTTTACATTTTGGTACATCACACAGTAGTCAAATACAGATGTAAAACCTTAAATAATCAAGCTGCAGTTACTGTAATCAAGGTACTCTTAAAATATTTATTTTGAACCATGCAAATGGCTACAAAAAAAAGTTTATTTTACCAAGTGCTTAAAACTTCCCTTGTGCTGGAGGAGTACATCTCAATGGCAGAAAGCTTCAAAATACCCTTGGAGATAACTAGCTGTTCTCCTCTGTTCACAAAGCAATGATGTCGCTAAAAGACTAGCATGCATGTATTGCTGAATTAACTCTGAAGTTATCAGTTCCTACCATCATCACCACTAGTTACGGAGAGAAGGCATGACTCTTACGAAGCTCTCAAATCTGAGCTCCATAGAGGACTCCGACAGAGAAGTACACTAAGGAGGAGGTTTGGAGAAAGTCTGGCTGCGTTAATACTGTTACAGAGTGAGTAATGCTTAGGAACAGCAACCCTTTCACAATTTTTTTGAGATTGGGAGAAGTAGAAAACAAAGTAATACAAGTAATCTCTACTAAATTCTATTTGCAACCTGCGTGGGGATAATATGAATGGCAAAAATATATAATACTGTTTATATCTAACATTAAGAAAACAAAACCCTATTTATACATACTCAGTAACTCCTTGAAATTATATCATAAATTAGTAATTTTGGTACAAGGATTAGACCCTTTACTGCTGATAGACATAATCCCTTCAAAAGACTAGTTGTATGAAGTTGCTCATGTACGAATTTCCAAAATACGAGATGGATTCTACTCACAAAACTATAAAATAAGGGGCCAAAGCAGAGGAGAGTTTGCTGTCCCCTTAGGTGACTAGTCCAGACGTGGTCTGGCATTATGCAGTCCTAGGCAGCCACGCTGGCCAAAGGCATTGCTGCCTCGCATCGCTAGCCATTCCCATTCCCATTCCCATTCCCTCGGGCAGCAATACCGCAAGCCAGCTTTGCTGTGGATCTCATTCCATGAAGTCAAACAACAGCCTTAGAGAGGAGCTTTAGCGTTAAGAATGATCTGGAGGTGCAGTTTTGCAACGGCAAGTGCAGTTCTGCGGTTTCTGTCTTTCATAACCTTGTTCCCAATTTTGCATTCTAGAACAGAACTTTTTGCTTTGCTGTAATAAAATGTATTAATTTTGAGTTTGTCTGGTGTTTTATGTGAACTTGGGTGAGTGAAAAAGCTGGAGTGACTGCAACCCAAGACAAATTGGAAATCATCAGGATTTGTCTTTTGAGTGCCACTAGGCTACAGAAGCCCCTTTGAAGATTACCATCAGCTCTCGGGACTATGGAGATGAAACGGAGAAAAACTGTAGGTCCTGATACCCCCCGGCAAAGGGCAGAAGGTAGAGAAAGAGCCTGTGATACTACTATATCAACGTAATACTACTCATTAAAACATGCTAACTTTTAGCCCTCTTGTACTTTCCAAGGAAACAGAAAAATGGTTTAAAGGATAGTACAATAAACAAATGAAATCTGGCTGAAATATTTATGAGGGAAAAGATGCAGAAATGTTTTCAAAGATGCATTTGGACAAAAAGTCCACTCAGTGACCAACAGTATACATGAGTGAATGTGATTCTGAAAAATGTTATGGAGTTTTCTGATGATTTGGGTTACTTTTTAACTGCTAAAATGTTACATTGTTACACATAAGAACAACAACTACATTCTTCATCAATATTTAATAGTGTGGTCTGCAAGGCAGAGAGTATTTTGCTTATTTCTTTGCATTTTAGGGTGGTAGGGAGCTCTTGTAAAGCCGGTGCTACTGAACAGTTAGGCATAAAATGAATACAGGCCAGTAAAGCGTTAGTTTTGCCACGATATGTTAATGCTGATTGATGTTTGAGCTTAAGCATTAGCGTTCTACAAATCTATTTATTGCTTAACAAACTACTTAACAGCCAACTAGGGAGCAGATTACAAAAATCTCTATAAATGGAGGATCACTATATAGTACGCCAGTTTCTAGCACGCACTTCAAGAGTATGAGTTTAGCCTGAGCTCACGTGCACAGTGCTCTGCGTGAGAAGATAAACAAGATTATTTAATATATGCAAGTGCCACCATTACATAATAATAGGGAAGTGGTCAGCTTAGTTAATTTAATGAAGAGAAGGCTAAGAGGAGAACTGACTCTGATTTACAAATACCTATATAGAGAAATAACCTGAGAAATAAGGCTCTTTAGTCCTGCCAAAGTCATTTAACTAGGTAGAGCAATTGAAAGCCAAAGTATACAAAATCCAGATGGGAAATAAGGCAACGTTCAAATAGTGAAGAACATTTCTCACTGGAACAATGCACCTAAAGCCACATTCCTTTCCTGAGGGCTTCACATCAAGGACATACGTTTTCCCCAAAGATATACCAAAGCTCAAAGAGCTGTACAAGGTCAGTGATGAAATTAATGAAGTTAAGGAGGAGGTCAGACTGTGCGATAATAACGGCCCCTCCTAGCACTCAGTTGTTGGCTTGCGCTGTTAAACCATCCACTAGCTATGAAGAAGACTGAACAGGTATTGTAAGTATTACCTCAAAGTGTAGCTTTAATGTGATCAATCATCTAAGCTAAAATGTCATTTATTTTTACTTGTTACTTAAATCAATTTGTACCTAAATCTCCCACAATAAGTAGCTAATACATTGTCTAAGCCACAAAAACTACGAGGTAATAAAACAAAATAAATTCCATGTGTACAGACATAATCGATTGCCACTGTTGCTGTTCTTATTTGTAATGTACCTCACATGTGCAAACTTACTTCTCAAGGGTCCGTCACTGATTTTTTAAAACCCTCTGGCAAGTCTTACTTGTTGAGATTCACTAACTCAATGAGTAGCAAACAAGGCAAGAAATTCAATTTACTGAACAACTGTGGTAGGATGATTGAGCTTAACAATCTTGTCTTTGAAAGAAAGTCTACTGAATCAAAAATGATCTCTGCTTGGCTATCTAAAAATTCTACAATGTCATCTGTAGTTAACTTTCCTTCCGCTTCTGAAATGCCTTTCTTATTTTGTCTATCATGACATTCTGTCTCTCTCTGTTAACACAACACCACAGTTATGCACATTAGGCTTCAGATAAGAATGCAAAAATATAAATAATTGATTTAATAACATTGGCAAACACATTGGAAGATATTGTGTACTGCTAAATCAAAAGCCATTCTTACAAGGGATTGTCAACATCGCTGCCATCGATTCTAGCTACACTGGATGCACATTAGAATCTGAAAAAAATGTTTCTGCTGAGACAATGAACCAACCTCTTATCTTCTGTGCACCAAAATGGTTCCACTGAAGTCAAGAAATTTGTTCTAAGTTTACAATAATACAACTAAAACCACAAATAATCTCCACAGGCTTCAAGCCATTCACCTTGCCTACAAGGTCCCAGGTAATTAAAGAGGACTCAAAACACATCTGTTAACACCCTTCAAAACCAGTATCTATTGCAAACTGTAATCAAGCATTATAAAAACATTGAGATTTAGAAGTACTTTGAATGACCACTATTTTTGTTACATTTTCATAGAAAAATGAATAAAGCTCTTGACATTATGGATTGGATGGATTAAAGCAATATTTATTATCACTAATGGATGCATTTCAGGATTAGATTTCCCACAAAAATTCTCTACGAAGAATTTTATCAGAATAAGACATTTGCACTTGAGAAGAAGAAAGTTTTCTTTTTCACCTGTGCCAAACTCCATTTTTAAGAGATGCACATGATTTTGCTTTAATTCCAAATCAAATCAGTCAATCAGGTTTGTCTAAATCTTCAGTACTGGAAGAAGGAATAATTCCTACAGAACATCAGCTGCACATCTTCAGAGCAGCTGGATCTCCTGGGCACGGAAATGCTGATTGCCTACAACTGTTCTTCTGCAAGACGTCTTAAAGTCACTCTCTGTGCAAAGCCTGCCAATTTAGGGATAGAATTTAGGGTAAAGCCAGGAGAGAACTCTTTTCATCAAGGATATAAAATATGGGGAAATCTGTCAGCAGGGTCCGAACCTCTTTTTCATTCTAGGCCGAGACAGTAACCAGGTTGCTTCGTAAAGACGTTAACAAAATGTATTAACACTGAGAAATGAGGTCTCCGACAGGAAGAAAGATCTTCACCAACTCTTTCAGAAACTTTGCAATGATAGAATGAAATAACACAGAAGAAGCCTTCTCTGCAGCTGTAATGACCAGCAGATACATTTTGAGTCATCTCAAGCCCAATTCTCTCTAATAGGTAGTTTGCGGAAAAGCTTCCAGAGGCCTGAAAGCAGAACGTCATCTTACACGTAGCATCAGACCTGGTCCACTTGGTCACAAAGCACACCCAGAGGACTCGTTCCCAGTGTTGATCAGAATCTCTGTAACTAGAGACAACCAGGCAGCGTTTCAATGTCCCTGCCGTGATGCAGAGGAAGCCAAAGCCTCGGTGATTTACCTGATTTGTAGCTGGTGTAAGAAGGTTCAGAGCAGAGGCAGGTCCTTGAGCTTCACATCAGGTCCTCCAGGATTCTGACACCAGAACCCCCTTGGCCAGCCCAGCGTTTCCAAGATCACCCCATTTCATCTGGCTGTGCTTTACTAATGTCAATGGTGCAAGACAGTAACTGGCAAAAAAAGCAAGTATCTATCACCCTGACCCGGTGATCAGGAACACATCCAACGGTAACAGGAACAAATACAGCCTGGAGTCAAAAGGCTGGCACCTGCTGTTGATACCTGAGACAAAGAAAATCAGCTGCTATGTTGAGAACAGCCGTAAAATCTCTTGTCAAAGAGATGTTTAGATAGAGAGGCTGAATTTAGAACTGATAGAAAAGCATAGAATTTGCACCTCTCTGGCAAGATACAAAAATACATGGTTTTGGATACGGCTGCATGGTGCCAAAGAGTATAAGCCCAAAGCACAGTGCCTGTGTGAGCACTGGCCAGTCCCCGTAAGCTCTTGTCTCTAGAGAACCAGTGAGGATGAGGGCATTTGGAGCTCTAAATGTGTTTAGATCTTGGGCATGGATCATATTTAGGAATTTTACTTTGGCTGACCAAAGCACCTCAGCGGTTCTCAGCCTGGACCGCTCTGGAGAACATAAAATTTCCTCACTGTGCCAGCAGAGACCAGAACACCAATTAATCAAAAAATGCCCTCAAGAGCTGAGTGCATGCTCTGACTTATATGAAACAGAAATTTGTGGCCGCAGGATAGTAGATGGAAAGGACAGGGAGCTGTGATGGTCTCCCAGATCCTGCAAAAGGAACGATTCCCAGATTGAGATTGCCATGCAATAGAAACACACTGCTGCTGGAAAAACTATTATTTCCCAAAATGTAGATAACACTTAAAGAAATGGCTCTAAAAAGCCCTCTTATAACACTTCGATATCTTCTGAGGCACCTGGGTAGGAATGACTTGGGTTTGGCCTCCCCCATATTCTTTGGCATCAAAGTAGCAAATACTAGCTCTCTTTCGATTTGAGTGATCAGAATATATTAAATCATCCCTGCCTCTGTTCAGCTGGTCGGTGCTTTTTCCTTTGTGGTTTCTATACCTTGTCAAAACTACAGTGTCTTCCTGCCTGGGGCAAAGAGTTGCCCCTTTCAAGCAGTTACACTGCTGTTACGCTACGGTGTGAGTTTCTGTTGAGATGCACCTTAGGTAGGTCATTGTCCTTCCTGTGTAACTCCAGAGTATCCTGAGGTCAATAAGAAATAGGAATATCCACAGCATTAATAAAAAAAACATATTTCCCAGTAGTATACTTTCTTTTTTTTTTTGCTTTAGAAATTGGGAATTAATTGCAAACAAGCAGATTTGTTTCAAAACAGTGATTTTTGGATATATTACCTACAGAAGGCTAAAGCAAAATATACTTTATTTATTTTATTGGCTAAATCAGGGATTTCTTTTGAAGACTCAACCCTGCAATGACTTGAAAGTAATACTTATACAACACTCCTTATCTTCCCTCTGTTTAAAAATAATAAAAAAATGTAATGGCATCATTCGTCACCCTTGCTATTCTCAGAGGATCCCAAGCATAATGGAGATAACTGGCTAAGGTCTGCCAGACTCTTCTGGGCCACCCAGTGAAATTTTAAAGAGCAGTTCATAGCTCTTATTTTTGTCGTAATTTTTTCTGTGATGTATAGACTTTTCCGCAGCTGTCACTTATTTTCTTATAACCGCAGAAACCTGATATACTGATTGGTCATTTTCTTTTCCCCAATCAATCCTTGCTGAGTTAAGACTAATAAAACTCCTTCTTCCAGCTCATCATATAATTATTTAGTAAAAATCAATTGCACCATGTCACCCTGGCTTGATGTCATCAATCACTGTAATGATTATATCTATACGGCTTAAAAGTTGCCAAGGGAAAGTAAAACTCTTTATAGCAAATGATTAAAGGAGAAAAATGTTAATAGAAAAGAAGTTAGTTACAGTGCTGGGGATTGAGAGTTCTTGATGATTTTCAAGGTGCTGGAGTGCAGGAAGGATAAATGAAATATAAAAGTTTCTTCGGAAGGTTAGGATACATTAATGAGCTTGTACATATTAAAGAAAACTTTTATACTGTCAATAGACCAAGAGGTTTACAAAGCTTTCAATAAACATGGTTTTCAGTGTCAAGGAGGAAACTATAGTTTTGGTCTTCCTCATTTGCTTTGGGATCAAGACAGCAAATACTAGCCACATTCCAACTTGCACATACACTTAGAACATCATGCCTACAGCAATGTTTTTAATAATTTACGTCAGCTGCAAAGACGTCTGGTCTTTAACCTTCATCAAACCACCAGATTACAGGTTTTCTGGCATAGCTTTGAAGCTAAAACAGAATCACAGATTTGCTGAGGTTGGAAGGGACTTGTGGAGGTCTCTGGTCCAATACCCCTGCTCAAGGTAGTGTCAGCTAGGGCAGGTTGTCCAGGGCCTTGTCCAGTCCAGTTTTGAGTATCACCAAGGACAAAGAGATTACAAATTCGTACTTGTTTAAGATTTCCAGTGCTGGTGTAAATGAGCTTGTTGATAACAGTCAATACAACACTCACTGTATGAAATAACAATAGCTCTTTAAGTAGAGAGTTTTTCAGACAACAGATTCTTCATTAATGCCATAACATACCCAGAAACACTGATGGAGACACAGGAGAACACGCTCCATCACTCTTTTAGCAAGGACATTTTGTGGGAATGGGATGAGCTGCTGCCACCAATTTGCTGCAACAAGAAATCTTGCCTGTTCCCACCACCGATGGCCAACATGCTGCTACAACAAAACCAAAATAACAGTGAAAAAGAGCAGCTTTATAAATCTTTGATTTTGTGGCACCTGCCACAGCAGTCATGTCTCAAAGTTCACAATGTTTCCCAGTGTGGCCAGGCTTGACTCTGACCTATGCCAACCAGGTACATGACACCTCTGCCTTCTCCCCAGAGCTGAAGCAGTGATACATTTGGACTCGATGATCTTAGAGGTCTCTTCCAACCTTAATGATTCTATGATTCTACCTGCACTGCCTTTTGGTGCAGATGTGAGGAGGAAGGCCTTCCTCCTCTCTTCCAGCAAAATACCAGAGGAGAACTAAGATGCAGAAGGCGTGCAAATGGGTTTGTGAGATGAGGGGAGGAACAGCCAAGAAAAGAGGTCCCATGGGATTGAGCTAAATGGAAATAGTCTCAGCACCACCCTGTAACGATATCAATTTCCCTGCCAGGCCTTCTACAGCTTCCTCATCTCTTACACAATTTCCCATCCCAACTCACTGGGGAGGAGTGCAGTTGATACAGTGACAGAGATAAAGAGTAGTCCATCATCACTATCTGTAGACCCTAATGACACCCTATCCAAAAGGTTTAACAGCATTGCAATACCAAAAGCCATCACAATATGACCCCATTGGACAATGCCCTTAATAACATGCTTTAACTTTTGGTCGGTCCTGAAGTGGTCAGGCAGTTGGACTAGATGGTCATTGTAGGTCCCTTCCAACTGATATTCTATTCTATTCTATTCTATTCTATTCTATTCTATTCTATTCTATTCTATTCTATTCTATTCTATTCTATTCTATTCTATTCTATTCTATTCTATTCTATTCTATTCTATTCTATTCTATTCTATTCTATTCTATTCTATTCTATTCTATTCTATTCTATTCTATATTGGACATAAGGAAGAAATTCTTTACAAGAGGGTGGTGAGGCACTGGAACAGGTTGCCCAGGGTAGTTGTAGATGCCCCATCCCTGGAAGTGTTCAAGGTCAGTTTGGATGGGGCTTTGAGCAACCTCATCCAGTGAAAGATGTCCCTGCCCAGGGCAGAGGGCTTGGACTGGACGATCTTTGAAGGCCCCTTCCAACCCAAACCATTCTGTGATTCACATACCATCATCACACCATACTAAATTAGTACGGCCCACCCTAGCATCTGCTGGGAAAAGTGATCCAAGAACTACAAGCTGACAAGAGAAACCCTCTCAGGAGATTCTTCACGTCCTCCTTCTCCCACCTGGAATAAATCTCTCCTGCCCCTCTGCATTCACCAAACCCATTTCCTGGGCATTGGTCTCTACAGTTTTGGCAGTCAGCTTTATATCCAATATGAAATACAGGGGCAACTTTCAGAATGCATAACTCTGCAGTGGTAGGTTTTAAGTTCAATCCAGCAAAATGCCCACCATTTTTTTCTGCTTCCAACGTTTATCTTCTGTTGTCCATATGCTAGCGTTTTTTTTTCAGTGAAGGAGAAGCACATATATCACATGTATTTCATGTAGGTCAATAACTGTTGCTTTCCCCTTAGTTGTTCACAGAGACATTCCCATATGGTATACCAGGGACTTTATGCAGGCCTCCAACATTATCAGATTTGAGTCATGAAGAGTTATCAGGTCTCCCTTTTGTCCATTAGTGGAAACGACAGGCTGTCCTCAAGAAGAGGTAGTAGTACACCGCCCCTATATATGTCACCACCATCCCCACCGTGGGCTTCAACATGGAGACGGTTACTTACAAAAACGTCAAGTTCAACGTGTGGGATGTCGGGGGCCAGGACAAGATCCGTCCCCTCTGGAGGCACTACTACACGGGCACGCAAGGGTTGATCTTTGTGGTGGACTGCGCCGATTGCGACCGCATCCACGAGGCCCGCCAGGAGCTCCACCGCATTATCGATGACAGGGACATGCAGGATGCCATCATCCTCGTCTTCGCCAACAAGCAGGACCTGCCTGATGCCATGAAACCCCATGAAATCCAGGAGAAACTGGGCCTGACCCGAATCAGGGATAGGAATTGGTACGTGCAGCCCTCCTGTGCTACAGGGGATGGACTCTACGAAGGGCTGATGACATGGTTAACATCCAATTATAAATCCTAATGAGAGAATAACTATTTAGTCTACAAAGAATTAAAGAAAAAAAAAAACCCACATGGCTTTCCGGAAGAATGATTCTCTACTGAAAAGTAGGCTCTATCTCTGACCAATTCTCTTTGCTTTTTATTAGCATTATTATTCAATAGTTATAAAATGCATCACATTGCTTCTCAAGATAGTTAAAATATTTTACAAAACTAGAAAGTCTGAATGAAGACTTGGTCTGAAAGAACAGTTCCCTGTATGCTTTGTTATTTATTGATTCATTCAGATATAACATTGCTTACATGCATTTTGGAATGCTCTTTGACCTTTGAAGGAAGTGCATGATCTACTTGAGCCCACAAAAAAACATAGGTTAGTTTTTGACGAGTGTCACAAAGCTCAAGTATCAAGCGTCACCGGCAGATAGGAATTTTAATCCATTTCTAATTATTAATTGAAAATACATCTTTACCAGTAGTGCATAGAACAGGCAAATAGAATGGTGAATATATACATAAGTCATCCTTAATGGCATTAAACTTACTGCAGGGGACTGGCTTTTACTTAACTTTAATCAAAAGTTAAATGATTAGGTTTAGACAAGTTTTTAGACTTTTTCTGTCATAAACAGACATTAGGCCCTTTCAGAGGTGCCTCCTCTTAAAAATCTGCCTCAGGGCTGGGTGAACTTAGGACGGGAGTGGAATCTTTAAACAGTATTTATCGGTGCAGCTGGAACTAAACTTTCAGGTTTAGGCAACCAAAAGCTGACCAAACATAGGTGCCTAATTTGGGGCGAGTCAATTGTGTTGACTAGATCTCCACTGAAAATCGTGGGAGCTGAGACACTCCATGCCCATGGAAACATCTAAATTTAGGTGACTTTATCTCAGTCTTTATCCTACCTGACGTGTATATGCTGGTCAGACAAATCTGACCGAAGATCTTGATAGTCTTCAAAACCAAATAAATGCATAGAGCAGAGATGTCTAGAAGAGACTGGAGGACGTGACATACTATAAGGGAGCCCCAACTGGAAGACAGGCAGAATGTCCAAGAGGATCTGGCGTGGCGAAGGACATTTCTGTTTAGGCATCTGAATTGGACCCTCATTGCCTCTTTTCTTCATGGACTAGCTGTGTTGCGATGCTTACAATAAGCTGGACAACTACTGATCATGTGATAAAGTATAATTAAGAAATAGAGCAATTCAGATCAGGTACTACACAGAGCTCAGCTATGGAATCACACAAATTTGCTATTGTTTTCATCATGTGCCTTCTCCTCTCTCTTCATTTATCTGTTGCTCACTAATGTCTTGCCTAAATTTAGGCATGTGTTAACACTATGAATCTAAACCTGCTATGATCCACCAGGTGTTATTGCAATAGTAGTAAAAATAATTAGCGATAATAAAAATAACAATGTTGTCATTTGCTTTTATCAGCAGATAAACTCATGGGACACTGCTCTCTCAGAACACAGAAAGTATGCTCTTATAAATATGCAAGAGAAAATTGCAGGCAGAGAAAAACAGTCATTCACTGAAAATATTGTTGTTTAGAATAGAGTCGGCATTGACCTCTTGTACCTAATTATACATGAAAACAAAGATTAAAAGCCTGCTAATAATCACCATAAACTATGATTAATGATGCCATGCTTCAGTGCCTCAGATTTCTAGACCCAAGTACAGTAGATTCACTAGTGGGTTATTCGAAAAAGAAAAGAATATTTGGTATTACTTTGTTCTGACTTTGTCTATTGCTTCCCTTGTATAAAGATTAGGAACAGTCCATCAAAAAAGTCTGCAGAAAAAGACCTTCTGAGGTTGCTCTTTTCTAATTCTATAAATACACATGCAAATCCAGCTGCTGTTGTTCACACCGCATACCCATGGATATTTGGACTTCATGGATATTTGAAAGCTACCGAAGACAGTCCTAAGCATTGAGAAGTCCAGATTTTCCTTCAAAAGTTAAAAATCAACAAGCCTGAATAAAATGAAGATTCCCTTCCTTACCCCTTCCTCTTCCTCTCCTCAATTACAAACACAGCTATGCTATAATCACAAAATAACCCAGGAGTGATCCCAAGGATGACCGTAAGACAATAAAAGCACTTTCCAAAGTTGTTCTTAGCAGATACCGGCATTATGAACAAAAGGAATCCCTTCAGGTTACTGCTGGGTTCATGTTTCCCACAGCATAAGAGTCACAGTGTCATCTTCAATGGCAGAAAAGACTGATGCCATGGCTTTTCTCATCTTCAGGGAACCATTTTATTACGGACTGTAGCAATACTGAAAGATGAAGTTAATTTTTAGTAGTTCTGGAAAACTGCTTAACACATCATTGTCACATATAAAATAAATAAGCTAAAAGTAGTTTAAAGGTAAGAAGAAATCAGAGCCCAGAAGGACTTTTGCCCTTGAGCCAGAATTGATTCAGCACCACTCACTTCATAATGCAAATTATTCAGCCCTCTCAGCAACCACTGCACTGGCGAATAATCCCCTTCATTAAAAAAGATGCAGAGTCAAATCTCAGCTTCTCACTGTGATATGGAAAAACAACATCTCCTAAACTGGAAATATAGGTCAGAAAAAGTCTATTCTAATTTATATGGATAAAAAGAGCCTAATATGCAAATTAGGTCATGACAGCTAAAATTCCTGGGGATGCAAAACAGCCTAATAATATGTATTTATTTTTAATGCATATTTAGTTCTAGAGAAAGGACAAAGAACGGGAACAACATAACATTAGGCATTTCAGTTCATGAAAGAAATGAAGTTGCATTCTCAAAAGGCAATATTGGTTAGCACCACCGGCAAAGACTCTCTTTGCTACTTTGCAAAAAGTATAGACTGCAGGTATTTATGAGGTGATTATGGGCAAGGGACCACTAAATTGGTTGCTGGTGGGATGGCTAGACATCAGTCAACTAAAAGTCCCATCACTGAGATTTCATTGGCGAGAGCGGGAATTAGAAGAACCTGAAGGCAATGGAAGACACTGTCTCCTATCAAACAACTCACATATAGTGCATCTGTCTATCGTCGAGTCTTCAGTCCTGCATGAACCAATATACATTTATCTTTATTGAGTCTCAGCATATCGATTTCCATGGCTTTTTTTAATTTATCAACACAGAGCTATGTTTTATTTGTTTCCTCCAAGAGCCTCCTAGCAATGTCTTTACCACAGATTTAATGAGCATCCTCTCCACTATATCCTCCAAGTCATTAATGAAAATATTGAAGAGTATTGGACCAAGAATGGCTCCCTGAGGGGTCGGTAATTCTATTTTGAATATATTTAATATGTCTGGGGACAACAGATTTTGTATTTCTATTGGTTTTTTTGTTACACCTTGTAATAATACTGAAACCATCAGGGCTCTTAATAACATTTGAAATACAGGACAAAGGTGCTTTGTCCTTTAATCTGAGACTTGCAAATTTCATTCAAATTATAAAGGGAAGAGAGTTACAGAAATGTGAAGAAAAAAAATCAAAAATGGTTATATTTTACATGGAGAGATTACTTTTTTCCCTTTAATCTCTAAATGAAGTTACAGGCCTGTAGCAGAATACATAATGCCGGTTTAGGGTCGCTGTAGCGTTTTTTATGTGTACAGCTGTTCTTCCACTGGTATAAGTAGACACATCTGCTCATTAGCAATACAATGTCATTTCTAGTGTCTAATTTTAATTATTTGCAGATGATAGATTCCTTATGCAATGTCTAAAAAAAGTACAGTCCTTCAAAACTGGTGAGAAATAAATATACCCTCTGCAACTAAAATGGGTCAGCGCAATCAAAACCAGATATTAATCTGGAGAATTCATGTATCAGCACTAAGGCTAAATGCCAAACTGTTTGGAAGGTCACAGGGAGAAGAAAGGGCTCATACATCTCTTCTTTATCGTGGATACACAAGACATATGGACTAAGAGATGTTCTGAATGAATCTGGCAGGTGATGAGTTCGTTGTAGTACAGATGGTCCTCAACTGCTGGAAAAATATCAGTTCTGCTTTCATTTCCTGTACAAACACAGGCAAGATAAGGACTTCTTCATGACAGAAAGGAGGAATGAGATTACTTACCAGTAACTTTGGTCCTTTGTCTATTCACACTCAAAGAATCAATAAGGCTAGAAGAAAATTTCCAGAAGCTCCTGGGCAGCGGTGGCCGTGGGTGCCTTTACCCTTCACCCCACTGTCAGAGGGCGGCCAGAACGATGGAGTCCTGGCTTCCCCTCAGCTCCTTCCACTAATTCAAACATCCAGAGAGCCAGAAAAAGCAATGAAAAAGGATGGGATTTGTGTACAGCAGGGGCTCACCCCAGAGAACTGTAGTTGTACCTGAGTTATTTCTTGTGGGCTGGGAAGGATCAGGTACTCTTGACAAACATGGGGAGCAGAACTACCAAAATAAGCAACCGTTTTGGATCGTGTTCAAGAGAGAAAAGAGCTAAAGCAGGCGAGTGGATTTTTCATTTGCCCCGAACATGTTTTAAAGAGAAATAAATAGTATTTGTTTTCTCTTCTGCTTGTCTTCTGTACAGCCATTGAAAGCAACAAGGAGCGTTTCTTTAAAGTTGCCCCGGACTGGGCTGAAATCTCTGACACGTGTAGGACTTCAGCCACACACAGGGTCAGGAGACTTATGAACAGTAATATGCTCTACAGGAATCACATTTGCACCATGACAAACAGATTCTTCTGTATCAGATTCTTCCAAAGGTTTGCAGAAATAGTTTCTGACACCCCACAAAGAGTGGCCAAACTTTCTTATCAGATAAAATATGACATCTTCCTCCCTGAACATAAGCACAGCTGGGTTTTGCAATTGGCTCACATACCGTAGGTCAGTGCTAACGCCAGAAGGGTGGTCCCACTAGCAGTCATGCTCCTGGCAATTTAAATCCTGGCTGCAAATTACATTTCACTTCAATTCATGCAGGGTTAATTTTCAGCTTGATCAGAGAACTTTGTGATTGCCAGTGTCAACACAAAGAAAGAGGTTATATCCTGCAGACAGGCCAGGGAGAGAGAAGAAAATTGCCCTTTTCCCTAACAGTTAAGTCAAAGATTAGCTTACAGCAATCGCGAAACTACAGGCTGAGGCACAACACAGACAAACCGATGGTCTGAAAGTCCACATCCCTCCAGACACACAGCATGGAGGTGCCAGCAGAACCATCGTCAGGGTGGAATTTTGAGGAGACGGTCAGGCTGATGTCTTAAAAATCTGGAAGGCTCTGAGGATGGCCTCATAGCGCAAAAACAGGGCAATGCAGAATCTGCCCTACACCTCTATAAACTTCAGAAAAATAGAATTGTGTACAAAGTGAATAGCCATAAGATTCGTTTGCCATATTTTCAGCATATCAGTTCCATTCTCTTTTTCTGTATCAGTGACAAAGAAGCAACCACCTCAAGCACTTACAGAGCTGTACGCAGCAATCCTCTTATAGATAAGATCATTCCTAGGAGAGAAGGAATGCTGATCTGTGCATTAGAAGCTGAACAGAGATGACAACCATATGTCACTTGGCAGAAGTTGGGGGTTTGTTTGTTGCTTTTTCAATATCCCAAATGTAATGAATTATAAAATAGAGCCTAAATTAATAGTCAAGGAGGACTTTATCAGGGCCCCACACTTAGGAGATGCTCATCTGGGAGAATCTCTTTCAACTCATAGACTGTTTGACTTGATCAAAGGTTCTTGCTTTTCAATAGATTTCTGTATAATACTCAGACTCAAGAGCTTCACGAAACAAGACCCAGGCTGCCTCCCAGAGAAAATTCGAATCCCAGTGAGATGTCGGTCTCATCTTGAAGGCAGGAGGTCCAACTGTTTGGAAAGCAGGAACTTTTGAATATTAATATGTTCAAACAATAATGAATGATAGGACTGCCAGTCTGTACTCTTTAGCAACTCGGTACCATCTAGATTGATATTTGAAAGGTCTTTAACTGCAACAGAATGTACATATTTGAGGTTTAATGACATTGGAACAATTAGACAAGTCCATTGTCTATGCTGGGGGTAGGAGGGCTTAAATGGCGTTAACCCAACTTCTGGAAAAAAGATAAGACAGTGCCACAGACAAAGCTTTTCTACTTTTGAGTAAGCGCTATTCTCAAGAAGTCCAGCATTCGCTGGCTACATGAGACACTGGATTCATCCAAAGAGTGTCCTGAATTTCATGAATAAGAAATCTTCCTAATTTATCCACATAGTAAAAAAATTCTCTTTGACAGACCAAGTACTGCATTCCCGTAAGGCTGGCTAAGTAAGACTTACTGTGTGCACACAGCTGAACCTCAGGAAAGGAGAAAAACATCATAGGTCAGCGAGATAACTCTCACTTTCAGTATCTTTACATAAAACCACATTTCCCATAGCAAGCTAAAAGCAGGGAGTAGATACAAATCAAGGCAAAGAAAAAATTACACCTTAAAGATCTTCTACTGCTAACAGCTCAAACTTGAAAGGGTATATAAGCATACCATCCCTATCTTATGAAACAAAGAAATGTGAAACTGGTACCCTGTGGTTTCCTTGATTTCCTCAAATGAAGAAAGGTGGTAGAGATGTGATGACCTTTGCAAAGTTCTTGAACAGAGATTAGCATTAAGCAGCCGTAAAAATACATAGGTAAAGCAAGCTGTCCAAGTCTGGGGTATGCAAAGTCTTCAGAGAAGACTGCCATCTTCTCTGCGGATAAAGTGATGCTCTCACTTTTGACAAATTATTACAGAAGAACCATTTGGAAATTCTACTAAGCCAAGCTTAGATAAAGGCTTAGGTATGTTTACACCAAGCACTGCAGTGCCACATAGATGCCTGAGGTAGTTGTGGATGACTTGGGTATCTACACAGCACAGTGTCATGCAGCGATATTAGCTCACATCCCAGAAGGAATACAGCCACATTAGCGTGGCTCTGTGCCCGGGCTAATTAGGTGATGTTTCCCCAGTTGCCAGAAATCAAAGAGTGAATTATACATCTGCCAGCATCCAACCTTCTCCTGAAAGCACAGACTGGAACTATTTTGAACCTCTGTTATGTGAGAATGCAAGGTGAATATAAAGACATTGTCCTGGTTTCGGCTGGGATAGAGTTAATTTTCTTCCTAGTAGCTGGTACAGTGCTGTGGTTTGGATTTAGGATGAGAATAATGTTGATAACACACCCATGTTTTAGTTGTTGCTGAGCAGTGCTTACACTAGTCAAGGACTTTTCAGCTTCCCGTGCTCTACCGACTGAGCAGGCTGGAGGGGCACAAGAAGCTGGGAGGGGGCACAGCCAGGACAGCTGACCCCAACTGGCCAAAGGGACATTCCATACCATGGGACGTCATGCTCAGTACAGAAACTGGGGGGAGTTGGCCGGGGGGTGGTGATCGCTGCTCGGGGACTGGCTGGGCATCGGTCGGTGGGTGGTGAGCAATTGCACTGTGCATCACTTATTTTGTATATTCTTTTATTGTTGACGTTGTTGTTGTTGTTTTTTTTTATTAGTAGTATTATTATTTTCCCTTCCTTTGCTGTCCTATTAAACTGTCTTTTTCTCAACCCATGAATCTTACTTTTTTTTTTCCCTGATTCTCTCCCCCATCCCACTGGCTGGGGGGAGGGGGAGTGAGCGAACGGCTGTGTGGTGCTTAGCTGCCTGCCAGGTTAAACCACGACGGACATAATGCCATCATCTTATTTTGTTTTAAAGCCAGAAGGAATCATAAATTCATCTGATCTGACCTGTTTATCACAACTACTAAACTTCATCCACATAACCATTCTGTCCAGCACATGAACTTCAGTCAGCCTAAAGCACTGAAGTCCTTCAGAGATTGACCTATTGTATGTGTGCCACAGGCAGAGCCCAACCATACGCTGTCAAAGCCAAGACTACAGACATGGCAGACGACTGATTAGGTGGTAGTTGCCCAGATTATTTCAGCAGAAATCCGTTCCTCATGCTTCTCTGGAAGGTGAAGAACCTTATAGTTCTGGCCATTGGTTCCCAGCTCTGGCAATCAGGATGAATCCCAACATGTGAGCAAGGCACATGAATCAATTATCTAGAAATAGGATTCTCTGCTATATCAAAACAACCAGCCCGTTACAAAGAAGCCAGCCTCTGGTGATGGCCAATCTCTGACAATCCAATGAAAAAAAGAACACAAAAAGACCTAAAAACAACCACTGGGAGGATAGGGAGAAAACCTCATTCCCGACCCCTACGAGCAAACCACAAAGGCCCTGAACATGGTTTGAAGATGGCAATTGTCTTAATGCAGAGCTGCGAGTATTTCAAGGGTGGTGCAGACAAATTGCTCTGAACACAACTGTAAAGGAAGGAGTTGAAAAGGGAGGCTCATAAATCAACAAATCCCAGTATAGGCCACCACACTTGACGCACAGACATAGAATTTCTTCTCAGGACTTAAATCAAGCGCCTCATAAAATGATAAATGATCTCATCTTAAAGACTCGAAAGGATGGTGATGGAAAAAGACTCCAAAATTTAATTACACTGCGAGCTGTGAAACTATTTCATTTCATGGTGGAACTTCTCAAACTTCAGCTTCCAGCTACTGGAACTTGTGGCTTACCAGTGGCTGGGTTGTCAACCTCACTGTGAGATACCTGCTCCTCACATAAGTACCTGTAAAGATTACTCCATCATAGTTTTATGTCTCTGCAACTAGTTGAACGTGTTTATTCATAGCACCAGGCCAGTTTTCTAGGCTCTATATCCTTTTTCTGTCCCTCCTTTGAATCCCCAGCAATATCTCTGTGTAATTTCTGGTATGTCAACACAGAAATTGCTCTAGATGTTCTGAGATTTTGCTGACTCTGCATGCAGAAAATAGCTTTCATACTCCTGACTAAGGCTTCCCTTTTCATACAGGCAGGAGTTGCAACAGCCATTTTTGTCTGTGCATTGTGCCCTGGGCTCACTGGAAGACCCTTATCCGCGATAGCCCCTGGATCCTTCTCAGAGTTACTGTTTTCCCAGGATGCTATCACATTTTGAAGGTATCATCATCTGCACTTTTTGTTCCCAGATGTAGTAACAAGTGCCATAATTATGATAGCTGTTAAAATATTGAAATGAGTGGCTGTGTGTAATATTTCTGGGAAATGGTAGAAAGGATGATGTTTATTGAAACTATATAAACATGTAAAATGTTTTCTCAACACAGTTTCCCATTTATGTTTGCACAGATGTGTGTAATGTCGTCACGAAGCCTCTTCCAAGAAAGATAAATTAAATCAAAAGGTTCGAAGAAGGCAAATAAATAGCTAGAATGCTCTGCTGGTGTCCCTACGCACCATCTCTCACCTCTTTTTGTTCCCTTTTTCTAATCAGAAAAGATATTCGCTGCCATTGAAAAATATAAAAAACAAAATTTTTTACGAAGGACAAAGGTCCTCGGCACAAATAAAACGACCAGCTCTGAAGCTGCGAAGAAATATGCTTTAATTTAAGAGACAAAAGATAGCATTACAGAAGAAATTGTCATAATCAAAGTTGAAAAAAAAATTTCTATTGTCTACTGTGCCTCTCTGTGGGAATTTTCCCAGCACAGACAGCTGTAAAGGAGGAGTGGTATTGTGAATTTCTGTACTCTCATTCTCTCTCTCCCTCTCTTTCTCTGTCAATAAACGTCTGCAATCATATTCTTGAGCTCCAGTGTGATTTCAAGGTTCATCTCTTCCATGCAGCTCAAACACTAATTATCCCAGCTGTAATTAGTAAGATAATTAAATACTGGCTCACTCATCACTCTACCTTGTGCCGGGTCATGATTCTCCCAGAAGACCTTGAGCAGTTTCTCAAAGCTGATGTTTTCTGGCTGATATACTATTCGTACAGTCTCTGTGTGGCCAGTTTTACCTTAAAAGACAAAATAAAATCAGATGTTATTAGTGAGAATTAGCTAGTGCATATCTAGTTTTTTATATCTGAGATTCAAAGCACAATCCTTTGTATTCCTTTCTTTTTTTTTCCTAAAGGTGTTTTGATTTACCATCATTTATACTTAAGCCTTTTTATACAATATTTTCTATACATGCCAACTCTAAGATGTCTGCTAGTTTGGACAAGACCATCATGAAATAAAATATCCAGAGAGGGAATAAGGTAAGACAGTGATGTTACTAGAGTAGTTTGTCAGCTTACAGGAAAAAAAAAATGAATAGTTCTTAAATATTTGTAACTGACCACTAGTAAAATATTTTTAAATACTCTAAATACAACATTAAAATATGAAAACTTGTATTTCTAAGTTGTCTTGACAATAGAAAACTGGGCTTTATTTCCATGAGGTAAGATATGGATAAAGGAATTGATTGTAAAAACAAATTTTGAGAGCGTGTTTACACAAGATCACACAAATCATTTCAAACTATTTCACATCATCCAAACCACTGATGCCAACAGGCTTCAAAAAGAGTCAAAGAGAGCCTGACTGAACTTTATGACAGCAGATGAAATTCAAGGAAGATTAGCAGGTGTTACAGGTTAAAACACACTATTCCTATTTTTCAGTTACATTATGGGCATGGTTTTTTCATTCCTTATGGTCTCATCACTCACAATATTATTGAAAGACCCAGCTTCCCAAAATGTGAAGGATCTGGCCACATAATTCACTTCAATTGTAACTAATAGTTAGACTGATGAGTGCTCAGACATCTCAGGGTGAAAGTCCATTGCACTGAGTGCTACACAAGCATTTTATCTTTTATATTTTATAAATATTATATAGTATATATTTTACAATTTATAAATGTAGGCATATTTGTTCTCATAATGTACGCATGAATGCGGAAGAAAACTTATCTTATTCTTCAGTTAAATCATAATAAGTAAATACTAAACAAAAGTAAACTGGACAGCCAGATCTGCCTTTTGGTGAGCACGTAATAAGCTCCTTGATCACACTAGGCCAGGTTTTTATTTCATTGATACCAGCATAAACTTCAGATTTACTCAACTGACTTCAACAGAATTGTTGAATTTCATGCAGTGCCACAACCAGCTGAATCTGGCCCAGTGATGGGTTCTGAATTAGCTGTCACCAAACAAGAAAAATCAGTCTATGAGTAACTGAGGAGTGTTCAGTAGAAACACCAATTCAGTACCAAGAGAAATCTTAATTAAAAAAAAAAAAAGTAGAAAGAAATAAAAAGGATGCTAGGATATATTAGAGAGACATAACAGGGAAAAGTATGGCAGCATTATATCAGTTAATGGGGCACCAGAAATGAAGAAAACCTAAATGAGGCACAGAGGGGTGGGCTAGCTATTAAAAGGGATTTAAAAGACTGGGATTAAATTTAGCCTAGAATGCAGAGGAGTAAAAGGGGACACATCTGGGATATCTGTAATGAAAATTTTGATAAAATCAAATTGGTTCCTATCTCGTGTGCTTCACAATACAACAAAGAGAGATTAAAAGACAAAAATGTACAAGGTTCACGTAACGTGTAGCTAAAGCCATGTCATCCTGTCCACCAGGATACTGTCCAGGCAAATGATGGCCCAATTCCTCTATCACATGCGCTACTGTCGTGGTATATTGAAGTCCAGGGAAGCAACTCATTATCTCAAGGCAAATTCTGATGGTAGGTTAACAGAAAGGGATCAGACATTTAGTAGAATAAAAATACAGGTCACAGATAATTGGCTTAATAATAAAGTGAAAAGGTCTTTCTATATTATGGCAGGAACTGATGGCCATCTTAGGTCAGGGATGGAATTTATTCCAGATTTCATGGTTTAATATGGACTATCAGTGAAAATAATGGGGTTTGCCTTAACTGAAGCCCAGGTCAGGAATTTTGTCATTGCTTGAGATAAAGAAGGAGAACAAACGGACAGTGGTTTGTCCAGCTCTCGCAAGCCTGCATCGTATAAATAAAAAGAGATTAAGGAGTGGCTTCTGACTTTAATTCTTTTTTTTCTAAGCCAATGTGAACCTTATGAAAGGTTCTTATCACTCAGGAGCAAATTGCTTGTCTAAGATGACTAGCTTTAGATCACAAGAGAGTTTCTTAAAGAAACAACAGAGGCATTACCTTTCCTCTCAGTTGAAGCAGCAATTACATCTTGTCAACACTGTCTGCTCTAATCCAGAAGTTCAAAGAATCAGCTTTCGTCTTTCCCTCTGAATAAGGAAATAATGGTGCTACTCTGAGAACTATAGCCTGACCTCGAGGAAAAAATCCTCAGATGTGTGGCTAGCAGACTGTTAGAACCTAGAGCATATTTAAAATCAATATTCATCCTCAGAGGAAAAGCAAGGAGGTAATGCTGCTGGTCCTATAAGATTTACCTCTAATTTTCCTCAAAGCCTTTCTACAATCCAGTGGATTTTCTTTCAAAATACGGTGTGGCTATTTCTACTTAGACCAATCTTAGTCATTTGTGGTGAGCAATCCTACTTCCCAACAATTTTAGTGGAATCTATACCAATCAACTGGGTAGACATGAGCAAATAGACAGGCAAAAGGCTCCATGTGGGACAGATTAACCACAAGATTTCCTAGAAGAAGCACAGAGAGAAAATGGTCTCAGGGGACAGGAGAAGAAGAAGAACAACCTCTCCACAAACGCAACATGCCTCACAACAAGGAATCAAAAGATACCACGAGGTTACCCTAAGTAGCATGTAAAAACTACAAGCTCATCGGTGCCGAACGTGACTGAGCTGCAGCCAAAGTGGCAAAAGGAAACTTAAATTGGGTTACCCCTGTTGATCTTTTTATTTCGCTTTTTGCCTTAGGCTTAAGTTCGACTATGGAAACAGAATAATCACGTTTCAGTTTGGGTTTCGTACATTCATACGCCAAAAGAACAGAGCAAGCATCAAACCAGCTAACC